AGAGTGCCTACCTTAAAAGCTTACAGCAGGGGTCAACCTGAGGACCTCATTCCTTTCTGGGCCATCTTCTGGGGACCACACGTCAGTGGTGGTTGGGCAAAAGATTGGGTGGAGCAATTACTTTTGTACAGTTGACTAGTTTCTAGGCACACCTCTTTCGAGCTCCATCCAGACAAGGAAGAGTCTGGGATACATCTCAGCCAGGCAAAATACTTGAGGGTACAAAGCAAGGGCAGTGAGTGGCATGGGTTGGGGAGAGGAAGAGTGGCTGGGGATTGGGAAAGTTTGAAGGGTCGGGGGAGGGAGATTGGGAACCCAGACCTGATTTTTCCCATCCCTGGCTTATAGCATCATTGAACTCAAGAAGAGACATGTTGCATCAGGGGAAAGGACCATCTAAACCAGCATCCTGGTCTCCATGTGCCTGTTGGAAAACAGAAGAAACATCATCATTGAATGGGAAAGCATCAAATGGAAGCACTATCTTTTGTAAACCTCCCCACAAACCCTATTTGCAAAGCTCAGTTCATTTAAGTCAGTGTTTCCTAAACTTGGGTCTCCAGCTGTTTTTGGACTACAACTCCCATCATCCCTAACTGGCAAGACCAAAACAGCTGAAAACCCAAGTTTGGGAAACACTGATTTAACTGGAGCAGTAGATCAGGTCTCCCAAAGTAACTATGCATTTGCGTTGGCTTCACTATAATTTGTCATTGTGGTTTATTTGAGGGACTAGGTTTTGACAGATGTAGTCAATGATACATTGATCTCAGAATCACTTCTCAGTGTGACATCCTGGTATGTTAAGGCCCATTACACTAAGCTGTGGTGACTAACCAGATGCCTTATAAAATGTGGCGGCAGTACAGGGAAGAGGAAGCTTTCTTAAGTTTTAATCCCCACTCTGAGAAAATGTTTCTGTTGGGAGGCAAAGCAGTGATTGAATTCAGAAATTAATCTTCCACTCGCCTTTCCCCCAAATGGCGCGAACTTCCTCCCTTCACTCAAAAATAAATAAGTAAACATCACTCTGGATGTAAATGACAGAAGGTTGGTTTAATGGGCTGAAGGTGAGGTGCCTGGCCAGGTTGAAAGGTGAGGATCTGAGAGGTGGGCTTCCAGTAATAGGTCACCACATCACTATGGTAACACGACTGGCTCTGCCACGCAATATGAAGAAATTAAATAGAAAAAAACACATTCTCACATTAATAGGGAACTGTGAAAAATCATGCTGAACTGAGTAGCTGCTATTCTATCTGCTGTAGTTATGGAATAGTGGAAAAAAAATGAGAGATATCAAATATGGTCTTTTTTATCAATATGCACACTCTCATTTCTCAATAGAACACACCCTCAAACTATGACTAGAACGTGGGTGTATTTGTGACTGATAAAAATGCCTTAAAGATCAGATGGTGTGTGGAGAGCCAAGGTTGGGTATTCAGCTTCAGTTTAGACTTAAATTTGCCAAACCTGGACAGATTCAGGTTTCTGATCTAAGCCCCTATTCTAGTTTATAAATGAATACCAATTGGGGAACTCTGCTGGGAGCTGGTGCAGGAGGGGAAATTGGTGAAAATCTCTCTTCTCTCCCCCCCCCTACACTTTCCTTTTGCTAGAAGGAACATTCTGAACAATCCACTCAAGGGTTGCTACCTCTGGTGAGAGCAAACTCTGGAGCCAATCCACCATGGTCGCATACAGAGTGTATCTCTATGTCACCATTACAGCTGTCATTGGGGCCTTCCACACATACAGTTTGTAGCACTCTATCTTTCTGTCAGAGACATGGCTGGCAGAGCGGAATCTGCAGAGAGGGAGGAAAACAGAAACTTGGTTCTTTCACACAAGGAAAGTGAGATAAGCCCCTCTCGCTCTGGAATGCTGCCTGTGAGTTTTCGCAGCAGCACAGAGATGAAGGAGCAGGATGCAGGTGGTAGGAGGGAGTTGGATTCAACTCCAGAGGAGGAGGAATGGGCTGCACCTGAGTCTCCAAGAAGTAGGAGGCGGATCAAGCGATTAGAACAAAGGAAGACCCGCAGGAAGCAGGGGTGGGGTTGGCATGTATCTGGCCTTGGGAGGGACCAGAAGCCAGTCAAGTCAACTGACTCAGACAGTGAGGAATGAGTTGTGGGAAGCCTGAATTGCTAAAAGCCCATAATAGCTAAACAAACCTCCACTAGTAAAACTGCCAGTGTCCTTGTCTTTTGTGAGAGAAGTGCTAAACCTGACACTGTTGTTTGTTCCAAGGGTTTTTGATGTGAAATTGTAGTGGACCATTCACACCACTGATGTTACTCAAACCACAAATCCCAAGCACCATCCATAATGTGAGACATTGCAGAAACCAACATTTGACACTGAACAACATTGTGGAACCATGCCGGAACGTTCACAAATGTCAGGTTTTTTGAGACAGAAGAAAAGGTCATTTGATAGCTACAGTAACCTGAAAAAGCAATGAAATGATTGATGACATTAAGCTGGAAGTAGGCAGGAAAATCCTGTAGCTATAGCACAGGGCAGTCCAACTTTTCATACCAAGGGGGCTGCAAGAGTACTTCGACACAGAACCAATGGGTCACACCCTGCCTTGTTGCATGGGCGGGGGAACAAGGCCAAAATTTGACAGCCCTCCTAGCCCATGCACTGCCTTTACAAAGCCAGCTAAGTGAGGACTTTGGGAGCTTGTCGGAGCCCTCACACCTCCTTCCCAAAGTCCAGCATCCTTCCCCTTGGAGAAGGCAGCACAAGAGTTGTGGGTGGGTTGTGCATCAAATGTTGCTGAGGGTTGCAAAAGGAGGCCTCAGGGGCCATTAGTGGCCCTCAGACTATGCATTGGACCCTGCTGTAGCTTTACAAATGTTACATATGGAGGGCCCTTCTGTATCAAACCAGTATTTCAAGAATGTAGTACATTTCAAAACACCTCTCTGTGTATAATGCAGCAATAAATGGAGCCATGTTGTTCCAGTATAGTGGGCTATTTTAAATGTGTTTGGTTGGATCCAAACTGCCTCCCAAGAACAGAAGGGCTGTTTCCATCAGTGGAAGGCATCTGATTCAGTGGATGAGTCCTTCTGGTAGCAGAAGGGAAAGTTTTTTGCCTTGCTGAAATCTGTTTCAGAGCATTGGGGGACCTTTTGGAACAGTGAAGGATGTGGCAAAGGAGAGGGAGACAAAATTGGTGCCAGTTTCTTTTCCATTCCATCCCTGCCACCTTCTGGTGGCAGGAGCATCTGAGCAGAACTACACTCCGGGGAGGGGGCATGTTGCCTCCAGTGTGAGCAAACTCTGGATCCAATCCACTGAGGTTGCCTGCACATTGCTTTTCAAATAGCAGAAGCATATAATTAGGATCCTGTGAGCACACACAGGCTAATAGGAACCACTTGAGTAGTGACAGTGATTAGCAGCAAGTACTAGACTGTGGTTGGGACAGCACATCAAGGGCATGGGTCCCTTGAACCTGAATCTCTACCTTTATGCCAGGGCAAAGTCATTTAAATACAAAAAGGAAAATAGTTTATATTAGCACCATTCACTGTGAAGGGTATATATCCATTTCCACATCATAAATATGAAAACAGGGGGCTGATTCAGACCTTCCAAGTGTCCCTATTTTCCAGAGATGTCCCTGATTTAGAGAAACCATCCCGGTTACTGATTTGATCCCAGAATGTCCCACCTTTCCATAGGATGTCCCTATTTTCATTGGAGAAAAGTTGGAGGGTATGGAGTTATTCAACCTTCAAGTCTTCTGAAGGAAATCCTGTTTGGGGGATGGCTTTTTAAAAATGTTTTATTATGTTTTTTATATATGTTGGAAGCTGCCCAGTAATATGTGTGGAATATAAATAGTAAAATTATCATTATGGAATGGGACTTCCCTATTTTCAATGGAAACATGTTGGAGGGTATGCTGATTCTGTTTGAATTTTTCTACAATGTTTATTTGCAACGACACCTTGCCATTTGACTATGCATGCCCCGTTCACTATTAATTACCATGTGTGCATTTTGCCATTTAAACTGAATTAGCTTCTAGTTAGCATGTTTATAGCTGATGGTTGCCAAATATTTCCTTTCCTAATCTGCCAGAGGGGGGAAAGAAAGAGGCATAGGTTGAATCTGGGAAGCTTTTGTCTGTAATGTATTGCCACTGTATGATGTATCAAACCATTTTAAATCTTTCTGATGCGTTCTGCATGAGCAATTATGTATTCAGGCAACCGAACTCTCCTTTCTTATGACCCATGTAACCGCCTTCACTTTCCAGAACAAGCTGTTCTCATTTCATGTAACTGCATTATGCTTTAAATTCTGCATTTCTGTCATACCTTAAAATCTGGGAATCTATTGCCTATCAAAGAGTGGGGTTTTTATTTATGTGTCTTGGGAGTGAAGGGCATTCAGGACTTTTACACTTCTGTCAAAAACACTTTGCCAGTAAAAGATGAGGACCATCATGTAAAGAATTTAACCTCTTTCAGAACATGCACACACAACTTAATGAAGTGTGTGACATTTATGCCAACTGTTGGGCTTTTTTCTTAATTAAATGACATATATAGAGAGAAAGCATAAGGCACACAAAGACAGAAAGCAGAAATTTGAATTGTCCCTCAAATAGGTGCCTCAGGACTTTGTGGCATCTCAGGGTCTTTAGAGTGGCACTAACATTTCAGTATATCTTTTGGGGTGCATTTTTACTTCATTTGTTTCAGTGCCAACTCCCATGCCACCAAGATTTGTGCTTCTAATTGGCGCAATAACTTCCATTTCTAACTGAGCAGAGTACAGCCTTCGTATGCACAGTGCATGAGGTTAATTTGAAACTTGTCTGTTAATTTAAAGAAACCTGACCTGTGTTCTACATTGCAAATCCTGTTGAGTGATGCAACTTTAATTCTAACAACAGACAGATTTTGCGTCTGTGTGCTTTTCCCTTGATATCATTTTTAAGGCAAAAGTGATGTGCACTCCTAGCCTGGGAGCTAAGTAGCATCCACGGTGCTCTCACTTCCCTCCCTAGTTGCCACTTAAACTGCTAGTAATAACAAATCCTTCAGGACATCAATAGAGTCGCTGTGTTGAATAATCGCAGGCTATCAGGCAGGAGGCTTGCAGCAGCAGCTCCATTGCCTGTGACATCACTCCTGAAGCTCAAACCCCACTCTAAGCAGCCTTCATTAGTCAGTGTGTTGGTCTGTCTGCTTTTTCCAGATCTACAGACCGTCACACGCGGGAGCAGGCTCTTTGCAGAGGAAGGACTTTGGGAATCAGAAGCTCTGGGAGAGACGGCGGAATAAAGAAGGGAGGGAGAGCGGCAGCGAGACCCAGAGAACGCAACAGACACACTTACAATATGAAATTCATCCTGCCTGGTTACTTGCTGTCCCTTTTCCCCGTTCTGGTTCTCAGCACCAGGTGAGTGCACAGATCTCTGACTTTGGAATGTGTTTGAGAAGCAGTTAAGGTGCATTTTTAAGCTTGATTTTCATTCCGGCTTCTCTCATGCTTGTAAGTTCAGGGAGCACCTTTTCTTGAACTGATTCCAGGGTAGGTTTTCGTTTCATGTTTCTCTCCTCTCTCTCTCTCTCTCTCTCTCTCTCTCTCTCTCTCTCTCTCACACACACACACACACACACGTCTTTGATTCTGGGTCATTTCCTAGTTAGTCCAGTCCATCCATCTCCTTAGCTGGTCACAGGGAAACTGCGAGCTCTGCAATGACCCAAACGCTTTTGTGATGAAGCAAAACTGTTCCTGACGTCCAGTATAGCTGTAGCAATTTTGCATGTGTTCCAGTGGAAATAAAGCTAAAGAAATGGGAATGGAGAACGTGGATTTCTGATGCTATGAGATCTGAGCTGGAAAATAGAATGCCAAAACCTGGAACAGTTTTATTGCAGTGGGAGTTTTACAATTGAAACATAACCGTGTTCAGTCTTTCTGTTTGTATTTGTGAATGGCATGAGCCTGGAATGGCATCGGGATGGTAGGGGTAATATTTTAAAGTTCCAGAAATATAGGAATCTCCCAGTCAAATCAACAAAAGGTTTTGAGTTTTCAATTTTCGGCATCACAGTTTGGGATCTATGGAGAACATTTATTCCTGAGTCAGGTGCAGCATGTCCAGCAGCCGGTACACATAGCATGTGCAGTAAATCAGATCTTAAGGGATGACACTCTGTCTCACAGCCACATTGCACACAGATTGAAAGTTAATACTGTGTGCAGAGTAGGATCTGTTTGAGTAAAGACCTCTTCCGACGTCTTGCTGTCAGTGCATGGCTTTCAATTTCCTGGTGCTTATAAACAAGAAAATGACAACCTCCTGCTATGTTGGCTATTAAGTACCTTGTAAACTTTTAAGTCCCAAGAGAAGGTAAATAGCCGTGTGCCCACGCCTAGGCATGTCTCAGAGAATTGCCCATATCCCTTTATGATTAAGTTTTGCTTTCCTGCAAGGTTTCTCCAGCAGTGGATTTGAAGAAGCTTTCTATTCTGGGCTCTAAGTGTACTGTCACTGAAACAAGATTACTCACTAAACAGTTGGGTTTTCAGATGTAATCCACCTGAGCAAGAGTGCCTACCAACTGCAGGTGTAACTGAGAAGGAAGGGTCAAAGAAGTAGGCAGAGAAGCAGTAGGACCACAGATAGTTTTGTGCTGAGATGTGCCAGGACTTCTTACTCAGCTGTCTACACTTTTAAAGAAGTTGTAATTTTTGGTTCTGCCCTGCTCAACCAGTAATGAATCCCTCAGATGCTCTTTGATAGACCATGCAATTCTCTTTGAAGCCTGGCATTGCAATTTGCTAATTATCTGAGGCTCTGTTTTAACTTACCGAGTAGATCTTGGAAATATCCTGTAGGTATGAAAGTCTCTGTCAATTCAGGCTGCTGATTTGGTGGCTAAACTGTATGTGCATTGCCAAAGGACACAGGAGTTAAATTCAAATGGAGACTTGAGATGGAAAAAGCAACTCACATAAAAGTTTGCATCTTAAATGGGCTTTTGATTGAAGTGCTTTTATAGCTGAGTTGATGGCTGCCAACTTATCTCCTGTTTACAAAGAACAGAAAAGGAAAGGCATATTTGCATTTCCATAAGTTTTCAAAATTTGAATAGATTTCCTGAAAGAAAATGAGATCAGAGTATCAGCTGCTGTAACCTAGAATCTTGGCCAATAAACTTTGAATGGATGTCATTAAAAAGGTTGTCACGTAAACCTCTTTGCCTATGAAGTATATCAATGGTAAACAATTTTCTTCTTCTCTGGACTTACCTTGGAGTAAGCCCCACTGAATTCAGTGGGACTTGCTTCTGAGTAGACATGGTTAGGCTTGCAGCTTTAGATTACAAAACTGGAAAAATATTCTTGAGTGTCCACTCCACCTCCATTAGTGTAACTTTCAAACTTGAACTCAACTTGCACATACGGTAGTTCTGAAATGCATGTTAGCTTGATTCTTTTCTGGTGATATTGAGAAGATATACCAATGCGTGCAAATCACCAACCAGTCAATGATTACATACCAGTGAGTACTGATTTACAAGTAACTTCCTTTTAGAACTGTTATTATTATACAACTAAACAACAACAAGAAGTTATTGTGAAGCTTCCACTAGGGTTTTGAAACTGCACTGGAAGCCACAGAGATTTGCAGCTCCAAGAGAAAGTGATTTTTTAAAATAACATAGGTTTTATTTGGGCTCTTAATGAATGCTTAACAGAAAGAAACAAGAGTTGATTTATACTGCATTACTGCTAGAAGCATGTTAAGAGATGAGACTTTATTGGGAATGCCCATAATTACACAAGAGGAGTGAGAGGGAGGAGACAGTAGACAAATTGGCTCCAGGAACTAATTGGAAGTTGCCTTCTAAATCATTAGTTTTAGGGTGCATATAATTTGAAACAAAGCTGAACCAGGGGGCATTTGTATGTTACATTTTACATTTCGATTTTGAATCCTAACTTTCGGAGAATATATTTTTGAAGTTAGCCTCTTGTTTTGTGTTAAATATTGGCAGGATTCAATGACAGTAATTCAGGAGGCTGTTGGAAGTGAGCATATGGGGTGGTATTTTGGTTTGGTAACTCTGAAGAACTTGGGTATGGCCCTGTAGGGACTTCTCTGCAGCCACCTTGTCCTTGCAAAGCTGTGAGTGCAATAGGGTGTACACAGCCTTCTGTTGGTTTTTCTCTTGTAGGATTTAGCCAATGATATTTCTCCTGTAATTTATTCTAGAAGAATGTCATTGAGTTTGTAGCATCTAAGATTGTTCCTTGCTAACATATGGTTAATGCTCAGGCAATTGCCCAAGCTGAGAAGGTTTGCAAGAACAGTTGCTGTAGTGAAGATGGGAATCTATTATCCTGCTGTGTGAAACTGCTTAGCTCAGGCATAGCTAAAGCCACGAGTGCTTTGAGATTTCTTTAGAAGTATTTTCCTGTCAACTTGTCATGGACACAGAACAATCTTCATTTCTTGTATTTACCAGCACTAGAATCAGTGGACAGTCCACTTGATTGGTGGGTGAGGGAAGGATGCAGACAGTTAAGCTAAAGTTTACCATTCTTATTCCTTGGGGTGGGGGGTTATCTCCATTTATCTGTGTGTGTGTGTTTATGAAGAGGAGTATATTTTAAAATAAGTATGCATTCTGCATGCATTTTTTCAGGTATAACTTATTTCCTTTTCTAAATTGTATTTTTCCCATGAGCAAAGTAGAATAATCACAATCAAAGTTCTGGATTTCAGTACCTTGAAACTGCTGGTGACCAAATCATGAGTCATGGTTTGAGTCTTCTGATCTAGGTCTCCACTTGGGTTTTATCAGTAAAATGGAATCTAGGTCAAAATAATAAAAAATAAGGTGTACTCTCAAGCTTTCTTGCCTAAAACAGCCTTTACCAACCTGGTGCCTGCCAAATATTTTACACTAGAGGCCCCATCAGCCTAGCCAGAACATACTTAAGAGTAAATGTTCGCAGAAAGAGACATTTCTGTAAGATGTGCTGTCAGAAATCTATCTGGTGGAAAGTCATTGGGGATTGTTCTTCCTTCCCAGCCTCTAGGCATACTGGGTCAAGAAAGCAGCACTGCGGCATCCCAATACATGCTCCTTTGTATCTTTTCACCTTTCACTGCCATCACTTCGATAGTTGTAAATAGGGATACAGAAGTTGTCTATGTATTGTGTGCTTCTTTAAGTTGCAACCTGACCGACACTTTTGAAATCATGGGAGTCGGTATCTCAAGGACTACCAGCTCCTATGTAAATATGCCCAAATGGTCATTATCTGAAGCCCTCCTCTGGATGCTCCTGTTTTCTGAGGTAAGGCTAGGTATGAGGCAGGTGAAGAAAGCACTTTTTCCGTGATGGCACCTCATTGTGGAATGCTCTCTCCAGGCATTTTTGGGGACTCTGACATACACCATATAATTTTTTAGTTCCTACCAACTAAGTGCGCCTAAAGCGCATCCCAATTGTGAGCTAGCTTATCTGTGGCTCGTGCTAACTTTCCTCAGTTTTGCTCTGTTGTTCAATAAATGCAAATATATATATATAAAATGAGAGCACATCTCCAGTGACCTCATTCCAAAAGCAACCAAACCTAGGAAACCTTTGGAAGCCCTGAAACTTTTCACCAGCTAGGAAAATTGGGGTACGCGTAGCAATGCCCTCTTTTTAACACTTTACTTCAGCTCTAACATTTGCAGGCACATGAATTACTTGAGCTCATAGAACAGTAGGCTGTGATTTTGTAGTGAGCCAGTAGGAATCACATCTTAATCACTCTAAGCAATTTATTTTCTAGCTGGCAGTCCAGTGGGTCAAATCATTCCAAGTAGTATAGTTTAACTGTCTTATGGATTGTAGCTTTTCTTAAACAACTTTGCTGGTATGGCTGTGGACTTTTCCAATAGCCCTACAACCATGAAATAATTTTTAGTGAAGCTGTATTGACGTAGCTTTTGAAGTATCCTTCTCAGCAAATAATTCTTAGGATCACAAGTTAATATACTGGCTAAGTGGAGAGTACAACATTAACAAAAGCAGTTTGCTGGGCGGTACAGAGCCACTACTCTAGCCTTCCTGCAGGAACCTTGTTGCTTACCAGGAGAGAGAGGGGTGAGGCAGCAGGGAGGTCTGTGTGGTGCAAACATGGCAGCAGACCCAACCCGGCACTTCTGCCATTGCTTGTGCATGGTGCTGAGCCACCTGCTGGGAAGTTTGTGTAGCAGGTCTGCCTTTACCCAATTAGCTACTTCTGAGCATTAAGCACCCTGAAAACTTCCAGACCTCCAATGCAGATCTCTGACCCTCTGTTCTAACAATATACTCTACACTATGTGCATTGTTGAAAAAGAATGTTTGCAAGTATTAAAAGTTTTACAAGGCCAGACTGCTTCT